TAAGTCAAGAAAGAATAGTCAAGGTATAGGCCAATAGTCTGGGACATTTCTAACTATTATTAAAAGCTAACTAAGCAGAAACAGCTCAAAGCAAAACGTGAACCGAAAGTAAAAATGCTTGCTTATGCATAAGCCACGATACATTCTTCTTATCTAATTGTAGCTACGTAATATTTTGTTTCTTTGAATAATGATTCCTGTTTTGTAACCACAAAGTACTGTGAGCCTGCCAAAATGAAAAGTAAATATGATTAACTTCACAAGTAAAGATGGGGATTCAGCACCTTCACTTTTGTGTCTGTGTTGTTTCTCCATCCCCTTTCGCCGACTCCTCACCATCTCCTGAGACACCCTGTTGGAGCTGGACTCACACAGCTACTCTTTTTCTTTTCTTTTCTTTTTTTTTTGGTACTGGGGATTGAACCCAAGGGTGATTTTACCACTTAGCCACATCCCCATCCCTCTTTCATTTTGAGACAGGGTCTCTCTAAGTTGTTCAGGCTGGCCTTGAACTTGCCATCCTCCCACCTCAGCCTCCCAAGTCATTGGAATACAGGCATATTCCACAGGCTTGGCTCTCTATGCTACTTTTTCTATCCACATGGAAAATGAAGAAAGAGTTAAGTAATTATTTAGGTCTCTCATCTCTCCTCCTTTTTTTCTTTTCTTTTTCAAACAGGTCTTGCTGTTTTGCTGTAACTCCTGAGTGCCAGCAGTCCTCCTACCTCAGCTTCTCAGTATCTGGGGCTGCAGGTGTGCACCATTATCCCTGGCAGATTTAGTTATTTTTTTTTGGTTTGTCTGAACTTGTTGAAGGAGAGATGGGTTTCATGCTATTGCATTATGATTATATAAGTTTTGTTGTAATATAGAGTGAAATTTACATTCCCCTAGTATTTTGCAGTGGACAAAGAACCTTCATGTCCATTGTATTATTTAAGCCTAATGTGCCTGAGTTCGGTGGTTTTGGTTTCAATTGTACAAATTATAAAACTGAGGCCCAGAGAGAGCAAGACTTGTCTAAGGTACAAGGTGAGCTGGGGTAGTGCCAGCCTGGGGCTGCCATGTACCCTCACACTGTGTCCTCCCATAGTGGACTCAGAGCTCCTCCAGGGCGGGGCAATGTCTCCTGGAAGGCCTGTCTACCACGCCCCGACCTCCAGACAGGGTGAATGAGGGTGTCTCCCCCGTTCTGCCTGGCCCAGGTCTTTGCAATCAGTGGCCTTGTGATCCAATATTTATTGAAAGTCCACTAGTACAGGGATTCCTCAACCTTCAGGTGCCCGGACTCCTGGTGGGAGACGTGACACTGGGGGTTGTTTTCCTTTGGATTTGTAGCTGGGCATTAAACCCTGGGGTTCATTCCGGGTGGATGTTTTTATACAGGTCCAGACAACAGCACTGCCTGGGCAGATCCAGGAAGCTGCTCAAGGAGAGGGCTCTGGGTGACACCTTGAATGAGAGAGGCACCCCAGGAGGGGATGCAGCGCCCCAAGCAGAGAAATGAAGGTCACCGCTGGATCCCAGCACCCTAGGAGGGGATGTGTGCTGGGCCAGGGGCTCCAGCGAGGACAATCCAACATTTTCTTGSTACAACTACCCCTGGCCCTCCCCAAGTTGGTTGGGCCCAGGACCTCTGCAGCCACTCTGCCGGACCCAGGAAGTTGACAACGACTTCTGCTCTCGGGATCGGCTTTTGCCGGTTTCTACCAGCAGCTCAACAAGTCCCCGGACGTGCTGTGGCGGGTGGGAGCGACCCTTCCGCCTGCGGGGGCGACACCTGCTTGCGCAAGGCCAAGTTCCTCCGCGCGGGCGCGGGGGAGGCGGCCGGCCCCGGTGCCCGCAGCGCCGCCCTCCCGGGCTCCCGGGCCTCCTCGGGGCGGGGCCGCCTCCCGTCGCCCCTTTATCTGCCGCCCTCCGCGGGCCCGCGCCGCCRGCTCCCAGCTCTGCCCCCCGCAGGTGAGGCTGGCCCGCGGGCGCGGCCGAGGTGCTCCGGGCTCTGCGCGGTGGGGCCGACGGGAGGGAGCGGGCGCGGTCGGGGTGCAGGGTGGGGGCGCTCGCTAAAGGAGCCCCCAAGGGAGGGGCGGGAAGGAGGCGCAGAGCCGGGACGCTCCTGCGGGAGGGTGGGAGGCAGCACGGGGAGCCCCTGGGCTGGGAGGGGAGGACGCGCCCGCACGTGACAWGTCTCCGAATCCGGGAGCGCGCGAGAGGCCTGGGCGGGGAGCACTTGGGGGGAGAGGGAGGGAGGGACAGCGGAAGGACCGTGCAGCGGTGGCAGGGTCCCGGGAGTGGGCGGGGCTGGCCTGGGAATGAGGAGGACCTGGAAGACCTTAGGCGGGGAGCCGGCCCCACCCTGCAGGGCCTCCCACCGCCCGCCCCCCTCCTGGAGGGGGAATCGACGTGATAATGGGGCAGAAAGGTGTGTGGGTGGTCCCGGTGGGGAACCAGAACTGGGGGGGGGTAGCAGTGCTGGGGCCCAGGAGACGCTCTTGCTCCCAAGGCCCATGCCCTCCCAGGGATCCGGAGGGCAAGATTTCCCCAAGGTGAAGGAACACGCTCCACCCGCCTCCTCGCAGCAATGACCTCTCACCTGCAGGCTTGAGGACCCCAGAGATTTCCCTGGGGCAGTTCCCCGAGGCCTGTGCGGCTGTTTCAAGCCAAGGCCTGGGAGTTTGATGGATTCTCAGAGCCTGACTGCACTTGCTGCACAGGTAGGACCTCAAGTTGGAGCTCCTATCTGGGTAGGGACCCCGTCTCCCATAGTGGGGCTGGGCTTATACGCCCCTGGGCTCCCTTGGTGAGAGGCTGCTCTTCTGTGGTCCCACTCCTGCTCCCAGAGGGCTCTTGCCGGTCAGCAGTGCAATTCAGGTGCCATTCCTAGGCTCCGTGCTGGCTGGCTGTGGCCAACCTTTCTGGGCTGCCGCCCTGCCCCGGGGTCCCCTCCTCAGAGCAGTGGTGAATATGAATTCCACGAAAGAATTTCTTCAAGAATTACTTATTTCAAGCCAGACGCTATGGGACAGGCATGTAATCCCAGCAATTTGGGAGACTGAGGGAGGAAGATTGCAAGTTCGAAGTCTGCCTGAGCAACTCAGCAACTCAGTGAGACCCTGTCTCAAAATAAAATTTAAAAGGGGCCCGGGACCGAGTGCCCCTGGGCTCAATCCCCAGTACCAGCCCCCCACCCTAATTTGCTTATTTCATTCTGATCATGTTTCTGAGTACAGAGGGAGGCTCAAAGTATGTGACAAACAAAAGCGGTTTTTGTGCAGGCTTGGAAGCCTTGGCGGGGCTTTTTCTTTAAGCACATTGGACTGAGTTGGGGAATTGGTTTGCAGTGAGGGAGGTGACCCAGTTGCTGAGAAATTTGGAGGCCACCGAGAGAGGGGAACGTCCAATCTGTGTCCCTCTACTAGGCACCAGGGAGCTGACTATGGTGGAGGAAGGACAAGAGTCCTGGCTTTGAAATATAGGTGCTTAACCATCCTGCCTCCTTGACTGTGATAATAGGTTAGCTTCAGGCTCAGAGTTGTGAGAGAGAGGAGGTRTGTGTGGAAGGTCTTGCTAAACAGCAAAGCACTTATAACTTTATTAATGTTAGACCAAATACTAATAGTTCAGGCTCTGTCATAATGTGCCCTCCTCTTTAGGATCCCTGCAGAGGGTTTGCCTCTGAGAGACCCAGTATTAACACTGGCCTGTCCTTCTTATTGTTTTGTTTGTTTATTTATTTACTGGGGAATTAAGCCCAGGGTTGCTTAACCATTGAGCTACATCCCCAGTCCTTTTTATTTTTTATTTTGAGACTGGGTCTCATTAAGTTGCTTAGGGCCTTGCTAAGTTGCTGGCTTTGAACTTGAAATCCTCCTGTCTCAGCATCCCCAATGCTGGGATTACAGGTGTGTGCCACTGTGCCAGCTATTTATCTTTTTTGAGATGGGATTTTGCTGTCTGTGTTGCTCAGGCTGATCTCAAACTCCCAGACTCAAGCAGTCATCCCATTTCAGCCTTCCAATAAGTGCCTGGCCTTATTATTATTATTTAAAAATTTACTCTTTAAATGTTGCCTAAAACCAAAAATTGTGCATATTAGCTGAGTGTTATGAAAAATGTTGATAAATGATTACATGTGTAATGTGTAAAAGCCATAGCCTTAATCCCCCAAAACCAAACGCCAAATGTTCTTTCTGATATGCAGATGTAACACCCAGTGGTGGGAAAAATTAGAAGTCCACTGGATTAGACAAAGGAGAAAGAAGGGAAGGGAGGGAAGATGAGAATAGGAAAGACAGTGGAATGAATCAGACATAACTTTCCTGTGTTCATTTATTGAMTACATGACTAGTGTAACCCCACATCATCATGTACAACCACAAGAATGGGAAGTTACACTCCATGTATGTATAYGTCAGAATACATCCTGCTGTCATGTATCACTAAAAAGAACAAATAAAAAAAAACTAAAAATTTTCAACATGGAAAAAAAATGGCCTTATTATTTTTATCTAATGAGGTTAGACTTTGCCTTCCATGGCAAGATAAAGTTGTCTTTAATAAAAAATGCTGAATAATCAGGGCTCAAAAGCAACAATGAATATTTTGCATGCCAGGAAGGAGGCAAAGAAGTAGAATTATAACCAAATCATACTGATAAGAGATGTTATTTATAAAGTAGGCTTTCACAAGGGCCCAAGGGTTAGCTGATTGTAACTAAGGAAAGAAGCTCAGAAGGAAAGTCACCAGTAAGTTCCAGGCCTGAAATCCCATCTGCACATAAAACCTGAGGATCCTGGTTTCTCCTGAAACTGTCAGAGGTGAGTGGTGGTCCTCTCCAGCTCTCTGGGTCGCCAGCTGAACAGTATCCTGGTAGCAGCAGGGCGGAGGCTGGCATGTAATGAGCACTGAGTGAAATCTGGGAATGGGACTAACTCTGAGCTCTCCTTCTCCAAAGCCTGATTTCTTTTTCTTTGTTTATTGTTTTTGTACAGGAGATTTATTTATTTACTTATGTATTTATTTATACTAGGGATTTAATCCAGGGGCACCTTAACTACATCCCCAGCTGAACTACAACCCCAGCCCCCCAACTTTAAAAATATTTTTTAAATTTTGAGACAGGGTCTAAGTTGCTGAGGCTGGCTTTGAACTTGCGATCCTCCTGCCTCAGCCTCCCCAGTCCTGGGATTACAGGCGTGTGCTAGTGCACTGGGCCCTAAAGCTGGTTTTCTCTAGCACCCCCACAGCCTGTCCTTCCGTTTTGCTCCAGGGCTCTTATGTGAAACTTTGACCTTGGGATGGAGTCCTGGAAGAAATATCTGGGGCAAGTCTTGGCTGAGGAGGGAGGTGAGGAGGGTACCTTGAGCTTAGGAAAGGGCAATGTGAATTGTCTCTCAGACTGACAGAGGATTCCCACTGGGACTCTGGGGATGAACCCTGAGGTGTATCCAGCCTGGAAGCCTTCCAGATATTATGCAAGACCTGGCCAGGCCGGGACACGTGCCTCTAGAATTGTCTCCTCAAGCACTTTACCTTGAGTGTCCTGCCCTGGGCCAGGACTGTTGGAGCTGCTGAAATTGAGGCCCTCTGCCCTGTGGATGTCACTTCCAAGCCACCTGGAGTGGGCCTGGCAGTRAATGCCAGTTTTTAGGGCTCTGTGGATCCAGTGGGTTACTCTGAACAGTCTTTGCTGAGAACAATTTAATGAGAAAGAAGGTCACTATCTTCACAAGTCTGAACTCCAACCAAATTTTCCTGATCCCTAAATATACCTTCAAGGATAAGGGAGTTGCTTAAGGAGACACAGGGAACTCTCTGACCCCAGATTAGTGGTACTAGCTATTGAAGGCTTAAAGAGGACTGACTTTTTTTTTTTTTTTAAGAGAACCTAGAACACATTTCTTAAGTGGGGGATATTTCAAATACTATTACTCTTATTTATAATAATAATATAGCAATCATATGCTATATTATGCTAAAACTTAGCATATGCTAAAATTTAGTTCTAGTAAATTTAATCTTTGCAGCAATCTATGAAGTAGATAATACTTAAAAATTTTTTTTTAAATTTTAATTTGTTACATATGACAGCAGAATGCATTACAATTCATATTATACATAAAGAGCACACTTTTTCATATCTCTGGTTGTACATAAAGTAGAGTCACACCATTTGTGTCTTCATACATGTACTTAGGCTAATGATGTCCGTCTCATTTCAACATTTTTCTTACCTCCCTTCCCCTCCCTCCCCTTTGCCCTATCTAGAGTTCGTCTAATCCTCCCATGCCCCCCCAGCCCCCACCACATTATGAATCTGCATCCTTAAATCAGAGAAACATTTGGCGTTTGSTTTTTTGGATTGGCTAACTTCACTTAGCATGATATTCTCCAACTCCATCCACTTACCTGCAAATGCCATGATTTTATTCTCTTTTAATGCTGAGTAATATTCCATTGTGTATTCATACCATATTTTCTGTATCCATTCATCTACTGAAGGGCATCTAGGTTGGTTCCACAATTTAGCTATTGTGAATTGTGCTGCTATAAACATTGATGTGGCTGTGTCCCAGTAGTATGCTGTTTTTAAGTCCTTTGGGTACAGATCAAGGCATGGGATAGCTGGATCAAATGGTGGTTCCATTCCAAGTTTTCCAAAGAATCTCCATACTGCTTTCCATATTGGATGCACCAATTTGTAGTCCCACCGGCATTGTATGAGGGCCCTTTTCCCCATATCCTTGCCAACACTTATTGTTGTTTGTATTCTTAATAGCTGCCATTCTGAATGGAGTGAGATGAAATCTTAGAGTAGTTTTGATTTGCATTTCTCTAATTTCTAGAGATGTTGAAGAGGTAGATAATATTGTCATTCCCATRAGAGAGTTAAGGTTCAGGGAAGGTGAGTCACTTGTCTAAGGTCACACAGCTAGAATGCCATGGAATCAGGTGCTAAACCTGGTTGTCCAAATCAGAAGTCTATCTCCTTCCCAAACCTTTAGAATGTTTGCTTTCTCCTTTATTTCTGGTATCCTTCATTTTGATTCCCTCTGAGCAGAGGACAGGAACCAGCCAAGTTTGCCTGGAATCCATCAACCAGGTCCTAGACACCTGGCTCCAGCCCAGCTTTGCCCTTCCCTTACTGTGTGGCCTTGGGTTAAGTCACAACTTTTCAGCCCTCGGCTTTTCTGCATCTCACACAGAGGTTAATGGTGAGCTGCCTCCTGYAGCTGATGCCAGGCTAGGTGGTCCCACGCTGCAGCTTGGATTTCACCAGTGTGGGAGCTGTGAAAGGAGGGGAGAGGTAGGGAAGTTGTCCTTAGCCCCACCCTCTGGTGACATCACATAAGACACCTTCAGTCCCTGGAAGCCCCGCCCCAGTGCCCCTTACCTGTGGAAGTGCCCCCCAGTGCTTGGCATCTGGCAACTTTTCCCAGTCCCACAGCCGACGTCATCAGCCACCAGGTTTGAGAGAAACATCTCAGGTACTCAGTGCAATTGGAGGGCCTGGCGAGGCGTGAGGGGGWGTGCAGGGCTGGGCTGGGGGGCCGTTCCAGGCGGGGCCTGGCTGCTGAGGGCAGACTGCACACAGGATGCCCTGCTGGTCCCTCCAGACACCTGCTCCCTTCCTCTGGCTCAGGCTTGGCTCCTTCCTCTGCTCCCCCTCTTTCCCTGGATTCAGGGGATGGGAATTAATTCTGAAAACAGATCTGTTGAGATGGGACAGGGCCTCTGGCTGAGGCCTAAAGGAAATAGGGCAGCAGGAACTTTGTCACCCTAACATGGTGCCTCTGGGTTCTGTCTTTAGGGCATACCACGTCTGGGGACATGGGGTTTGTGAGCAAGCGAAATGGGCTTATTAATACCCATCTCACAGGGAGAATTAATTGCAGCAGGGCTGTAGAGGTGAGCATATAGTGAACACGTGACATTTGCGCTGATTTATAATGCAATTACTGGGAAAGGAGTCCTTGGTACGTAAGCTGAGAACATGTAGGTTCAACAAAGCTAAGTAGACAGATATCTTTGCTGTGGGACTTCTCAGAGCCTTTAATGTGCTGTTATGCCTGGGGAAGTTCCAAGAATGGGATATGGAATTTAGGACTGGACATAGCAGATTATAAGGACCCAGTAACTAGGGCAGTGTCATTCCCTGGTCCTTTCCCCATGGCAGAGTGGAAACCTTGCTGGGATGGTAACTCTGGGAAGACCCTCCTGTCTCCAGGCTCTGGTTTCCTCATGTGATGCAAGGAAGCTGCATGAGATGCCTCCGGAGGCCTTTTCTGGCCCCTGAGCTCCTGAGTTAGGAAGCCATGATTGTGGACAAGGGTGCAAGGTGAGGTCAAATGGTTGCAGCTGAAGCCCAGTCTCTTAGGGGAGGAAAAGGTCCTGCACTGGACTCCCAGTTCGCAGGGATGTTCTCATACTCTGGGTGGAAGTGGACCCACGAATTAGCCATCAGCACAACGTGCCCTGTGCCAGGCTCTCTGGGATAGTGCGATAGCTGGCACTGCGGTAGGTAGCTGCCTTAGCTGGCACAACACCAAGAAGACATAGCTTCGATAGCTGGCACTGTGCGGTGGTGAAGGACTTATTAACTTCTGCCTCCTGCTGGTCTAGGAAAAGCCAGGTGCCAGGGCCAACTCCAGAATCCAGTGTGTGTGTGGGAGAGCTTAGGGTTGGGGTCAGGCTGCGGTGGAAGTGAGGGTGGGCTGGTACACTGCCTCTGGGTAGCTAGCGCCTTGCGTTACCTTGGACTGTGTGAATTACTGGTGGCCTTGGAAGTGATTACCTTGCTGCTAGGGACAGGGAACAGAATGCTTTACCCTGCARGCACAGTGGCTGGTGCAAAGGTGGTTGCAGTTGAAGTCTGATTAACAATGAGTCCAAAAGAGTCCAAAAAGCTTGTTGGAGGGGATGCAGTTGGTGGCAGGGCATGGCGGGGAATAATTGGGCAGGTTTTTCAATAAATAGTCAAGAAATGTTGACAGACCTGAATTGAGCAAGGGATACCAGGCAAAACAGTACAGTTGTGAAGTGACTAATGGYACTTGCCACCTCATCTTGCAAAGGCCAGGTTGGCATGGTGGTTAAGGGTCCAGACTGACTTTGACATGTGCCTCTGCACTTCCTGGCTGACTGGGTGGGCAAGGTACTTCATACCTGTGCCTGGGTTTCCTGTTCTGGAACATGGGAATAAAGACAGCGTCTCCCCCACAGGGTCAATCATTACTGAATKCTGTCTGGCTCCTGGCTGGTGCTGTGTAAGCATTTGCTTTTGCTGTTTTCCTTTCTGTAGCCTCTCCCAGGTCATGGGATTCCCAAGAGCAGGGGTTGGATCCTTTTCCACTGTGCCCTGTCCAGGRTCCATCACCCATCTGAGGCACAGCAGGCTCAGGATCTGATAGGCGAATGAATGAATCGATTGTGTCACCTATTGTGGGTCAGAGGGAAAGCAGGGAGGGCAATAAGGAGGCCCCCAGAGGGGGTAACTTGTACTGGCCTTAGAGGATTTCAACTCAGGGAAAGGTAGTCAGTGTGACATTGGGGTTAGGTGGGAAGTGAGGGTTGGAGCAGTTCATAGGGCCTGGAGTGCCAGGATGAAGGGTTAGTTTGATTTATTTGGAATCAGAAATGTGCACAGTGGGAAAACTGGCAGAGGAGCAACTGGAGAGTGGAGGTGGGGCTGAGGGGAAGGGCTGTTTTTATAGGATTGGTTGTTAGCTGGGGACTTTCAGGATAAAAAGTAGCTTTTGGAGTTGGACCTTGAAGGGCATGAAGTGTTATCAGAATGCTACCAAGTTGTCCTTTTATTCAGCAAATACTGAGTATCAGTCTCTTGCGAAATACCAGGGTGCCCAAAATAATCAAACAAACTGTCTGCCTTCATTGAGCGCTGGGCAACAATTTCAGTGTCTGTGAGAAGTGTCGTAACACCGCAGGATAGTCTGAAGGACAGAAGAAATAGGTTTTGAGGGATGAATAGGAGTTTGCCAAGTAGGCTAGATGGGAAAGTGCCTCGGGAATGGCCTGTGCAAAGCTGTAGGCCTGTGAAGCAGCAGCCCTAGGGGCCTGGTGAGGCTGTGCCTGGGGCTGAAGTGCGCTGTGGTTGAGCAGCAAGGCTGAGAAGGAAGAAGGCACCGGTCAGATAGGGAAATGGAAGATTAGCGGGAGCCCCTGGCAACTCAGAAGGGCTTTAGAGGCAACAGGTCTGTTAACGGGTCACTGTCCCACCAGGTGAACAGTGATGGGGGCACAAACTTGGGCTGAGAGTGCCTGCCCCTTCTGGAGTGTTCTGCATGGTGGGTCTGGACTGGAGGAGGGCAGACACCTGGGCTGCTGTGGGGCTGACATTGACCTTGTGTGCGTCAGAGGCTGTTTCAGGCTCTCGGGGAACAAAGCAGTTCTCTGGCATCCRGAGGTCGGATCTGACTCTCCTCAGGATGGCTCCCTCCCCAAACCCAGCGCAGGAACAGGGCTGTGGGAAGAGGGAGGAGAACCTGGGCGTCAGAGTCAGAGCGGGGCTGCTGCTGGCCGGGCGAGCTGCACACCAGGCCCTTGACTCTGCTCTGGCCTCTCTTGCAGCTCCCTGTCCAGGCCCCCAGCCATGGCCATGGCGGTAGCCCAGAAGTTCAGCCACCTCCTGTCCAGCCTGTGGCACATCGGCCAGAAGCCTCTGCAGCCGGAGCCGGTCTTCACGGTGGACCGAGCGGAGGTGCCGCCCCTCTTCTGGAAGCCCTACATCTACGCTGGCTACCGGCCCCTGCACCAGACCTGGCGCTTTTACTTCCGCACGCTGTTCCAGCAGCACAATGAGGCCGTGAACGTGTGGACCCACCTGCTGGCGGCCCTGGCGCTGCTCCTGCGGCTGGCCATCTTTGTGGGGACCGTGGACTTGCTGGGAGACCCGCACGCCCTGCCGCTCTTCATCATCGTSCTGGCCTCCTTCACCTACCTGTCCTTCAGCGCCCTGGCCCACCTCCTGCAGGCCAAGTCTGAGTTCTGGCATTACAGCTTCTTCTTCTTGGACTACGTGGGTGTGGCCGTGTACCAGTTTGGCAGTGCCCTGGCGCACTTCTACTACGCCATTGAGCCCGCCTGGCATGCCAAGGTGCAGGCCATCTTCCTGCCCGTGGCTGCCTTTCTGGCCTGGCTCTCCTGCACGGGCTCCTGCTACAACAAGTACATCCAGAAGCCAGGCCTGCTGGGCCGCACTTGCCAGGAGGTGCCCTCGGCCCTGGCCTATGCGTTGGACATCAGCCCGGTGGTGCACCGAATCTTGGTGTCCCCTCACTCTGACACAGATGACCCAGCTCTTCTCTACCACAAGTGCCAGGTGGTGTTTTTTCTGCTGGCTGCCTCTTTCTTTTCTACCTTCGTGCCCGAGCGCTGGTTCCCAGGCAGCTGCCATGTCTTTGGGCAGGGCCACCAGGTTTTCCATGTCTTCTTGGTGTTGTGCACCCTGGCTCAGCTGGAGGCAGTGACGCTGGACTACGAGGCCCGTCGACCCATCTATGAGCCTCTACACACACGCTGTCCCCACAACTTCTCCGCCCTCTTCTTGCTCACTGTGGGCAGCAGTGTCCTCACTGCGTTTCTTCTCAGCCAGCTGGTACGGCGAAAACTCAACGAGAAGACCAAGTGAAGGGAGGGGCAGCCGGTAGGGAGGGGTATGGTGGGGGACAGGGGTTCGGGCTTGGCCCCAGATAGGAACAAGGCCTGGTAAAGTTGTTTGTGTCTGGCCCGAGGTGACTCCCTGCACACACCCCACTGTCAAGGATGGCACTGGCCAACCTTTAGACTTGGAAATTGGCCAGTTGCTGCTGGGTCAACTCTGGATCTGCCCAGTTCCCTGCCTGGGACAGGGCAAAAGATGAAGGTGTGGGCCACCCTGGCTTTCTCTCCACTGCCTCCCACTAGGGGTGAAGGTGGGACTCTGCTGGGGTTGAGACCCTGGATTGGGGCTGTGGATTGTCTGGGTGGATGGTAAAACTTAGACCAGAGTTACATTTGAGTTGAGAGGCAGGGGAGGCTTCAGTAACCCACCTCTACCCACTTTTTATCAGTAGAGAGGAAAGGGACGGGCTCAAACATGTGCAGGACCTTACTGTCCCTTGAGCCCTAGCCTGGATCAGAGCTCCGGGGAGCCCCAAAAGGTAGAAGACTGTGCCAGGCTCAAGGAGATCCAAGTCACTGCCCCAGACAATGAGCCCCAAGCCTCCTAGCTCTGGCCTGTGTCCCACACAGCAGTTCCCAGATCTCTTATTCAGTCATCTATCCAGTGTGTCCTTGGCCTCTTCTCGGAGGCAGGCCACCCACCAGGCCCTGTGGTCAATGCAGATCACAGAGGATTTAATACCAGAATGAACTGTCAAGGAAGAAGGGAGAAGAGAATTAAGTGTTCCCCAGGGTACCCAGGGTCTTGGCTGGGAAGAGCGAATAGGAGTTAGCAGACAGAATAGGGCATTCCAGGCAGAGGGGGAAACCTGAGCAAAGGTCCAGATCTACAGGAGGAGCTCAGTGGGTCTGGAGCCAGGGCTGCTTTGGACTTTTGCTATGTCCTGGATATAAATAAAGTGACTGTGATAACAGCTGCAGCTTTGCTTTTTGTTTCCTGTTCTAGCGAGGGAGCTCTGCTCATGATATTGGGGGAGGTTTTCTCTGGTTAAAGTTGGAGCCCCTGAGGGTAGAGGGGAGGAATTCCTGTTTTATCTTTGCCCGGCAGGTTGGGGTCTTATTTTACACAGAGTGGTATATGTAATAGACAGACACACACATGTACATATATATGACTTAATTTGGCAAGGGAGTAGGGAGAGTTTCATTACTAAGTTTGAGGAGTACTTAAAAGAATGTGTATAAAATATATATAGTCCCACTTATATATGACCAAGTTTTTAATTTTTATTTTTTTCCTTCAATCAAGGATTATACGTTAACTCTCATAATACTGCTTTTCTCATAGTACAYGAGCAATATGTATATAATCAAGAAAAATTAGAAGAAAACCCCCAAATGAATAAGAAATATACCACTGCTAAAATATTATGGGGGACTATATGTATACGTAAATGTAATATATTGATGAATATTTTGATATATTAAAATATATAATGTTGGGCTGGGGATGTGGCTCAATCCGTAGAGTACTGGCCTGGCATGCGTAGGGCCGGGGTTGGATCATCAGCACCACATACAAACAAAGATGTTGTGTCTGCCGAAAACTAAAAATAAATATTAAAAATTCTCTCTGTCTCTTTCTCTTTAAAAAAAAATCTATTTAAAAAAATATATAATGTACGAAACATGCATTACACACACACACACACACACACACACACACACACACACTCTGAAGATTATGGTCTGGCATAGGAAGCATTTTGCATTTGTGAAGGGCTTTCAGAATTAAAAAGTACTTTCACAAATGTTACCTCCCTTGTTCCTCTGTAAAGTGCTACACACTGAAAGCTTTTTTATTTTCCCCTTTAAGAGGAAGGTCTTGATAAGTTGCCCAGGCTGGCCTCCTTTTTTTTTTTTTTTTTTTTTTTTTGCGGTGCTGGGGATTGAACCCAGGGCCTTGGGCATGCGAGGAAAGCACTCTACCACCTAAGCTATATCCCCAGCCCCTACCCTCCAACTTTTGAGGATCTTCAACCTCCTGAGTAGACGGATTATAGGTGTGCCCAGCTGAAAAGCTGTTTTTTTTTTTTTTTTTTTTTTTTGCTATGCTGGGGATTGAACCCAGGGTCGCAAGAATTTACCATTGAGTCACATACGTCACCAGCTCCCTGCAACTAGCTCTTGACCCCAATTTTTTTACTTCACGTTTTCAAAATCCTCTTCTATGTGGTTTGGTAGTGATGTTTAGATTTCTGTTTTAATTACGAAAGTCACAAGCTCCTCTGATACTAGCTTTGGAGTCGAGACCTGCTTGCTTCCTCGGGGACGAATGACACAGGAAGGCCCCCGAGCCCCGGGGTATTACAGTCACAGTAAAAAGCGCAATTCGGCAACGCCCAAATGCGCGTTCCCGGCCCGCCGTCGCGAACCCATTCGCACAGCAGGGCTTCTGGAATACTCCTGAGAAGAGGATCAGAAAGAATCGCAAGCCCAGGCGCCGAACTCGCCCAAGCATGTGCAGCAGATGCCGTTAACRCAGAGGGCGGAGCTCCGGGGGGCGGGGCTTCACGGCGACAGGCTCTTCCGGGGCGGGGCTTGAGTCCAGACGGCCGCGGTGTGGCTCCGCCTCGCGTAGCTCCGCCCCCCGCGTTGGCGCGAGTTCCGAACGTTGGCGGAGGCGGCCTCCGCGGTCTCCAGAGGCGTCGGGCGCGGGTTCCCGGGTTCCAGTTGGCTCGGTCTCCTCAGCTGTCATGAAGCGGAAAGGCCCGGAGGAGAAGGAGGCGTGCGGCGTGTGGCTGGACGCGGCGGCGCTGAAGAGGCGGAAAGTGCAGGTGGGATGAGGGCGTGTTGGGGAGAGGGTAGGCCCTGGAAGCCTTGGAGGTCAAGTCCGGGACCTGGCAAGGAGCAGCTTCGGGGAKTCACAGGCCAGAGGGGTTGAGTTCGAAGAAGGCTGAAAATGGGCCCTGGAGAGGGAGGAAGGAAGCAGCTGGCCTTGGAGGGCTTTGAAGACCCCGGGGCTGCGAAGTTTGGAGGAGGGGAGAGGGCGGCGCCAGAGCTTTCGGGGAGGAGTTGGGCTGGGCAGACCCCGCCGGGGCGGTCCTCCTGCGAGACGGTACCTACTAGAGGCTGAAGTACCGGGTGACAGGTGCCTATGCACATTTGGAAAAGGTCAGCTTGACGGTCTGTTTCTACCCAGCTTGCCAGGTCGCAGGACATCCATCTGCCAGGAACCAGTAACTTGGGGGGCGGGGGCGAACAGAAGATTCTGGAGGGGGAACTGGTCTAACCATTTATTGCACACCAGCCGTGCGCCAGATACTGTATTAAGTACTTAATGTGCTTTGTATGTATCATTACTCTCCCTGGGAATGAGGACACAAGCTGTGTAACTAACCCAGGAGAGGCTCAACATCACGCCCAGCCAGATGTCCTTAGTCATTGTAAAGACAACTTGAATTGGATTAGAGGATTCCCAACTAGTGTCTGCTGCAGCAGCATTGCTTGCTAGGTGGGTAGGAGGGGAAAAAAAGAAAGAGAGAAAGAGAGAGAGAGAGAGAGAGAGAGAGAGAAAGAGAAAAAGAAAGAAAGAAAGAAAGAAAGAAAGAAAGAGAAAGAAAAGAAAGAAAAGAAAGAAAAGAAAAGAAAACCAAGCATCAGGTGTCAGATATTTTTTTTTCTTCTTTTTAAGAGACAGGGTCTCACTGACTTGCTTAGTGCTTCAAGGTTGCTGAGGCTGGCTTTGAACACAGAATCCTCCTGCCTCAGCCTCCCAACCCACTGGAATTAAGGCTTGTGCTACTTCATCGGACCCTGGCGTCATGTGTGAGAGTCTTCCCCACTTTTACTCTTCCCCATTTTTACAAGCGCCAGAAAAGAGCACTAAAATGTCCCTTTCACAGGATGTAGAAACCTCTTCTTAGAGTGTCTAAGGCATTTAGGGCAGTAGTTAGTGGAGAGTGTTTTGAAAAACCTGCCTCTTCCCACTTGATCCCTGAACAGAACTGTTTGCTATTTTGGGGAAAATAGGGGTGCTTTGTAGTTTGACTAGAAGACTGTAGAGGCCTACATTTGGAGTGAGTTTGCTTCTCTCCTGATCTTACAACTCATAGGCATGACAACATTCACCTTATCACTTAGGCCTTGGTATGAAGGATACTGGATTTTTTTCCTCCTCCTCCCCTCCCCCTCCCCCTCCCTCCTCCCAATACCTTTGTTTTATTTATTTATTTTATAGGGTGCTGAGGATGGAACCCAATGCCTCACACATGCTAGACAAGAGCTCTACCACTGAGCCATAACCCCAGCTCTTTTCCTTCCTTCCTTCCTTCCTTCCTTCCTTCCTTCCTTCCTTCCTTCCTTTCAATTAAGAACATAATACAGGGCTGGGGTTGGGGCTCAGCGGTAGAGCACTCGCCTCTCATGTGTGAGACCCTGGGTTCCATCCTCAGCACCACATAAAAATAAATAAGCAAGGGCTGGGGATATGGCTCCAGTGGTAGCCCGCTCGCCTGGCATGCGTGCGGCCCGGGTTCGATCCTAAGCACCACATACCAACAAAGATGTTGTGTCCGCTGAAA